AGAGAGAGAGAGTGTGGGTGTGTGAGATGGTGTGTGTGTGTGTGCGACAGTGTGTGTGTGTATGTGTGTGTGAGATAGTGAGTGTGTGTGTGAGTGAGTGTTTGAGAGAGAGTGTGTGTGCGTGTGTGCGTGTGTATGTGTGTGTGCGTATGTGTGTGTGAGAGAGAGTGTGTGTGTGTGTGTGAATGAGTGTGTGTGAGAGAGAGTGTGTGAGAGTGTGTGTGTGAGAGAGAGCGTGTGTGTGTGAGAGAGTGAGAGTGTGTACATGTATGTATGTGTGAGTGTATAGTATGGTGGGGTCACCTGTAGTGCGACAACACACACACGCACTTTTGAATTTGTATTTACAGATACATTCTACGTTGTTTCCAAAAAGCACACAGATTGTAAACAAGGCCTCAAACCTAACATGCATTATCTGACCTAAAATGTCACCTCTTCTTTACACTGATAGAGCCTTTCGTTCTCTCGGGGCAGTGACTTGAAAGAAATTCGGGGATTTATATGTAGATATTAATCAATTAAAACCTTCTAACTGATTAAAGATTTAATAGCATCTTCGGTTTGTTGAATACATCCTAATCAGTTTTATATATAAAATCATAGAATCCCTACAGTGTGGAAACAGGCCCTTCAGCCCAACAAGTCCACACTGACAGTCTGAAGAACATCCCACCCGGACCCGTCCCCCTTTTCCCTGTAACCCATCTAATCTATACATTCCTGGAACTCTGGGCAATTTAGCATGGCCAATCCACCTAACCTGCACATCTCTGGACTGTGGGAGGAAACTGGAGCACCCGGCTGAAATCCACACAGACACGGGGAGAATGTGCAAACTCCACACAGACAGTCACCCAAGGGTGGAATCGAACCTAGGTCCCTTGTGCTGTGAGGTAGCAGGGCTAACTATTGAGCCACTGTGCCACCTCTTTGATCTTTTACTCATAAATTCTGTGTCTGATACTACCTCTCTCACTAACACCTGAAGAAGGAGCAAGGCTCCAAAAGCTTGTTTTCAACTAAACCTGTTGGATTCTAACCCGGTGACATGTGATTTCTGACTTTGTCCATCCCAGTCCAACACCGGCACCTCCACATCATGAAGAAAGCAAGCACAGACTTGCTGACTGCTTTATGGACACCTCCATTAAATGCACAAGTGTGATCTTGAGCTTGCAGTGAGCTGAACTCTGTGCCACTTCCATGAGTGGAGGCCTGACAAAATGAAATGCTTATCAGTCACTCAACTGGCCTGCACTGGATATTCCTTGTGATTTCGGGCCCCACAGGAGACAGCTGCCAGCCCTCCAATCAGAGCACAACAGCTCTCCTTTGCCAGAAAAGTCACTGCCAGTAATGTTCCAAAACCTGTCAATGAGGGACCTCCTCACTAATAATGCCACTGACTGGATTTGCTGAGCAGCCTTCTGGAGGCACGGGAGATTCGTCTGAGTTCCATTAACTCCTTGAGCCATTTCTGAACTCCTGCAGGCTCAGAGAAAATTGGTGTCAAATTGCACAAGCACAACTGACGTACCAGCTCCAACAAATATGATTCACACATCAGGCCTTTCCCAGCTCCAACTTAATTGGGGAAAGGTTGTAGACATGCTTGTCGAGCCAGTGTGTTTGGTTGCAAACGTTTCATCACCTTGCTAGGTAACATCATCAGTGCGCCTCCGGTGAAGCGTCGGTGTTCTGTCCCACTTGTAGACCAGACCAGATAAGGATGGCAGTTTCTTTCCCTAAAGGACATTAGTGAACCAGATGGGTCTTTTCCTGACAATCTACGATGGATTCACAGTCTTTGTTAGATTCTTAATTCCAGATATTTATTGAATTCAAATTCTACCATCTGCCATGGCAAGATTCAAACCCAGGAGCCCAGAACATTATCTGGGTCTCTGGATTAACAGTCCAGTGATAATACAACTAAACCATTGCCTCCTCCTGTATTGTGTATCGTGTAGCAAGATGACGGAACGTTTGCAACCAAACCCACCACCTCGTCGAACATGTCCACAACCTCATCCACAACTAGGGCTACAAATCTTTCTGAAAACTTTAATTGGGGAAAGTTTTCCCAATGTTGGAATATCCAGTGTGGGTACTCCTAGCATGCCACTTCAGCATGCTTGATTGAATTCCGACCTTTAAATATCCACCTTACCATCACTCTGCCTGTCTTTAGCTGCCTATAGCTCCATTGAAGCTCAATATAAATTTGAGGAACTGTGTCTCACTTTTTCAGTTAAGCCCTTTACAGTCTTCTGGACTCATTGAGTCCAGTAGTTTCAGGGGCATAACCTCTCTCATTTTGTTTATATTTTCCTTGCTGGCTTGGGTTCTTCCCTTGTTGCATTATTGACTCTACACTGAACCTTCTCCTGGAGATGCATTTCAAGATAAACATCATTTACCAGTGAAAGGCCATCAACTTGGTGAAAAACACTCTTTGCTCAAATCATAACTGTTTTCTGGTGCAAGGATCTGCTGATGAGGCTATTTACTGCTCGCCCCTAATTTCCCCTGAGTGCAGATGGTGAGCCATCTTCTTAAACCACTGCATTCTATGCAGTGGACGTGTACTCACTGTCTAATTAGCATGGGAATTTCAGGACTCTAACCCCGCAACAGTGAAGGAATGACAGTATATTTTCAAGTCAGGATGTTATGTGACTTGGTGGGAACCTGTTTGAATGCTCTCATTTTTGTGTGAGCGAGGATATACTGACCACAATAAATTAACATTCCCTGTTCTGCACATCACACACTTTTGCTGACATAATCTCTTATAAACTCAGAGAAATCCACTGCAAACGCGTTAGCCAGTGAACCAAAGAAGAGTGCGTAGTGACTTACGGAGTACAAGTAAGCAAGACTGGTTGTTTGTGGTACATGAAAAGGAAAGACATTGCTAGTCAGAGTTATGTTGCAGGTTCTCCAGCTGTGTATTGGTGATCTGTTTTGCACACACTCACTCTGCTTTCAGCTCCTGTGATACCAGAAAGACAGCCAAAGATGGTAAGGGCTGTCTAGGCTTCTGCAAAGCTCTTACTGCAGTAAAAAAGACTGGGTGTGTCATATTGGAGATGGATGTATCACATAGGTTTTTACTGAACTCGTCAGAACTGTTATCTCTGTTTTCCTATTTATTAATAACCGTATTGAATCAGTGACCAATGTTTGTTTGTGGTACAGCAGGAATTAACACCTCGATAATGCTGTCTCTTAGGATTGTGCGGAGATGTTTCTAACATATATAAGAAACTGTAATACTTGTGTTTCTACTTTCTCCCCAAATTCAGAGGAATCAGGGTACTCCCATAAAGCATCTAACTTTGATACAAAGCAGGGATTAAAGTTGGGACCTTCCAAGTCTATGTGGATACTCACTGAGATGATAATTTGATGGTTCTACAAATAAAAATTGTTCCAGTGCCTCCATTCAATCAAGAATGATTGCATCCACTGGAAGCTATTTGGCATCTAGATAGTTTATTTTTAAACATATCAGCTGACTTAATCAAAATACATACTGGAAGATACTTTACTAGCTGGAAACTTGTGATGGTATACAGTTCGCATATGAAAAATGTTTATATGGACCAAAACATTTACCTAGAGACCCTTTGGAATCAAGGGGCAATTCAGTGGGAAATTCAAAAGCACATTCCACATTTACATGTAAGGGATGTGTGAGAAATTGTAATGTTGTTCAGTTTCCGTTGCTGTTAGTTAAAGCTCAAACATTACTATTTTGCACCACTTTCTTGTTTTGCCCATTTTTAGTCACTGGGTGGCAAGTTACCTTTTAAATTGTTTGATAATGAAGAAGAAGAAATTACAAGGATCAATAGGGAATGTTTGTGGAATGGTTGATCATTTGCAACAATGTTTCTTTGGCAATATTGCTTTTGGGAATGATGGGGGTGTGGAGGAGTGTTGATTGGGGGGGAGCATGTTGACAGGAAGTATGGCTGTTTTACATACTGGTGTTACCGGAATGAATTTGAAAAGAAAATGGGCATTCTTGACAGCGATGTAAGCAACTTGGTGCTGCATTGCCCTGCTTATCAGCCTTTTCTCTGGAATCGTTCAGAGGATCTGAACTCTTTATCTTGTTCTTCTTGCAGGTCTGCAAAGCACAGCACACCATGATCATTTTGCAAACCTTGGTTGGTGTGTGCAGAAGGAAGAGTCCCAAGTAGTCTAGGTATTTGAAGTGCATCTTCAGGATGCCATCAGATAGTTTGATCACATAAATGATAGTCAGCTGACATCAACTGTAATGCTCTTAATCTTTATTGGATGGAGCTTTGACATGCCACAACCAGGGCCAAAGATATGATGGAATGTGGGCTGCCACCAAGTGGAAGTACCATCGCAGCTCCTCAGGAATCTTGTTCATGTCTGCAGGAATATGTTTTTGTGATTGCACACCTGCCATACATTTTTGAAATGGAAAGCATTACAGCTCATGAATATCTGTGGATGGTGCCTGGATTGCCACGTTTGTGCATTGAAGATCCCTTGCACTTTTTCAAAGCCCCGGAGCTAGAAACCCAAACGTCCACCTACTCTGACTGGAAACAACATGGCAAAGTTGACATAATTACTGTTTGTGCACTTGTTGGCTGTTGACTTGCTGACTGTAAAATCCTGTAACAGAGCCCTGGAAGGATCTGACAGCAACAAATTGAGGATGGTGGTAACCAACGGGTCTATCAAAAAGCTGGTCTTCTATCAGACTGCAGAATGGTAGTATCAAAATCAAATTCAGATGATTCATCAGTGGTCCATGAACAAAGAATTTATACAAGTTCACATGTGGTGCTGTTTATTTTTTGAGTGTTTGAATTTAAAAATAACCAAAGCACTGCTTGTTTTAAACAAGATAAAAGATTAGTTTATTACATAACTATTGATGAATGTTAGTTAAGTAAAAAGTAATGAAGTTATTAATGGAACGTAGATAGAAAGACTTATAGCTAGTAAGGGTAAAACCTACAATGAAGATAAAAATGAGATTGATTTCTACTATTATTGCAGGCTTGAAGTGTTTAAAGATTCTGTTTCTGGCACTGAATGTTTGGCTCTTAATAGCCTGTTCAGTACATTAATCCTGAGATGCCTTCCCTTGTGTCCTTGTTGAGAAGCAGTGGTGTCTCAAGATGTTTCCCTCATAGTGTTCAGATGATTCGCCTCAAAATGGAAATGTCCACATTGCTTTACCATAATCAAACAAAATGGCTGCAAATGTTAATTTTGGTGAATCATTGTTGTACGAAGCAAATATGCTGGAATTCCATTTAATGTCCCTCCTGTCTCCTGTTCAACACTATAGACGTTTCTGAGTTTTCACACTTTTAGAGAGCTCAATAGATATTCTTGGAATCCTTGAATTATTTATTCCCTTCATCAAAATGGGGATTAATTTGGGGAAATTTGCTGATGTCTCATAACACTGTTGTCTCAGTTTCAATAGCAGCTCCTCAAATACTGAGTTAATTTGTGTCTGCATGCAGCAAGACCTGAACAATTACTTGGGCTGATAAACATTATTTGTGCCACACAAATGTCAGGTAACTTTTTTGTTAACAATTGAGAAGCTAACTATTTCCTCTCGGGATTCAACAGTATTTTTCTTGGTCATATGACTCCCACCATCAAGGTGTCAGGGTTATCATTGGCCAAAAACTTAACTGGATCTGCCCCATAAACCCATTCAGTACAGGAGTAGTGTGCCAGGCAAATACACATCCTTTTTTTAAAAACATTTGCTGCCACATTTCAGGATTGAAAAGTCACAAAAGCAATTTTACTGAGGAAAAGTAAGTGAGAGAGTAGTGTGCCATGTGGTTGAGGAAGGGTAGGGTTTTAGATAGGCAATAAAGGTAATTAGGGGCTTGGTTTGGGTCAGGCCAGACCTGGCAGGGTTAGGTTGAGCCATAGCTACAGGGTCAGGTTGGGCCAAGTTGGGCAAGACAAAAGCATAAGTAACTGGAGAAACTCAGCAGATTTGGCAGCATCTGTGGAGAGAAAGCAGATTTAATGTTTCAGGTCCCATGACCCTTGGGGAGTACACATTGGATTTGGGTCTACACTGGGGAGGAGATGAAACGCAGACTGCTTTGCCGAATACCTACTTTCTGTCACAATAATGCAACAGTAACCCCGAGCTTCTGGTTGCGGGCCACTTCAACACACCACCACCGACACTGGCCAACATCTCTGTCTCGGGCTTGCTGCAGTACTCCAGCAAAGCTCAGTGCAAGCTGGATGAACAATATCTCATTTTCCGCTTGGATATTCTGCAGCCTTCAGGACTCAATATCGAATTCAATAATTTTAGGGTCTGAGCACTTTTTCCCATGTCCTTTCCCCGAATCCAACACATCAAGCCATATTATCACATGAGTTGCTACCACAAACAACCCATTGCCAGCTACTAATGGTTCCTGTCTGCTAAACAGTTCTCTATCCATATCAGTACACTATCCCCAAACCCAAAGTGCTTTAATTTTACATGCTAATCATTTATATGGGTCCAAAAGCTTTCTGAAAATCCAAGTAAATCACATTAACTAGCTCCCCTTTATCAACTCTCCTAGTTACATCTCAAAAAACTCATATAGATGGCAAGCATGATTTCCCTTTTGTAAATCTATGCTGACACTTTCTGATCCCGAAACTTACATTTCCTCTTTTACTTTTGGACCTCTAACTCCTGAAATATGGCAGCACAAGTGTTAAGGAAAAAGGACTTCTGTCAGCCTGTAACACTATTCCTGCACTGAGCAGAATTCTCCCTGGTTTCCTCCAGTGAATGCCCCTGGGACAGGCCAAACAATCAGGGTATATGGCAAGTTTGGTAAAATCACAACTCATGGCAAACTGGCTGTTAACAAGGCATTTAACAAGCAATAATGAATGTCATTTGGGAACTTGCTGCGTGGCTGGAATCTCTCCACATTGCTAATAAAACTGTATAAGGTCAAGTTTTGGTGTTTAATTCACAGCAACAAGATGGACACTAAACAACACATTACAGAGGATAGAAAGTAAAGTTTTATCAGATAAATATGAGCTTCACTCATTTTAGTACCACCATTAATTCTGTGACAGAGGATTGTGGGTACAACAAATAAGCACATAATCTGGCTGCAGCATTGTTGAGGAAGTACACTGCATTGTCAGAAATGCAATCTTCGAGAAGAGAAATCACTCTACAATTCCCTCTATTTATTCATGTGGATTGAATACTCTAATGGCATACTGAAACAGTGAGGACTTCTCTCAATGTTCTGGGCAACATTCATGCTTTATCCACAACAAAAGAAACAGATTGTCTAATCACTCATTTATTAACTGTTTGTGGAGTCTTGGAGTGTACAAATTGACTGCAGCGTTTGCCAACATAACGTTTTAAAAATAACCCATTTATCATAAAGCACACTAGCATGTCTTTAAGATGTGATAAGCCACCATGTGTAAAAAAACTACGAGTTTAAAAATGACTTTAACATCTCATAAAATTGCCATATTTTAGTTGGAATGCTTTAAAACATGCATTGTTTTAAGGGAAGAACAAGCTTTGTAAAATTTGCTGTAAGAATCTGAGCTACAAAAAAATATGTTCTATTAATTTTGCACCATCACTATCAGCTTCAGCGGTAATTGTTATCGCAGTTCCTCCTTCTTGTGATGTGAGCACAGTAAAAATGCTGTCTGCCAACGCATTGTGGTTGTGAGTGTTGCACTTATCTGCAATCTCCTGCCAATTTTCCAATGTACAGTTAACGTCATTAAGGATAGTTTGCTCCATAGCATCTAAATAAGTAAATTATTACAATAAGAGAGTAGTTTTAAGCATTTTTCCACAACATTGATATCACTATTAGATTTACTCCATTATTATAATAAGAGGAAATTAATAGAAATCTGGATCTCATTATTCTGACTTTGAATTTGTACAGTCAACAGAACTTTCATCCATAGAATGTCTATGAAATCTTTCTAAAATTCTCAATGCATAAAGTCTAAATTGGTTAAAACCTCACTATCCACATATTGTCCTTCAAGAAATGTCATTCATTCATCACTTTGAACTTTTATGACATTCAGTAGCTGTCTTCCCAAAACACTGAATTCAAAATCTTTGTACCTATTTACCAATGTTTCTACTCTGTGCCTTCATCCAGCCTTGCATTCAATACTTTAATCAGCATTACTCTAATATCAGCCTACTGCGCATCCCTATCCTGGAATTTGTCATGATGGTGGCTCTTTGAGCTGCCTATTCCCTAGAAGGTGTATTCTGCTTCATCTGAACCAAGCTGTTTGGTAGGTTGTGGGCCATTGTGGACAGATCCATCGCTATGTTCCCCATATAAAGGGCGCATATCAGAAGTTGTAAAGTCCTGTCCTTCCCTTGTTGAGGAAGATCTAGTCTGAGGTGGACATGAGAAGAATGTACTTTCTCCTTCCCATTTGGACCCTTAGATATCCTCTTACAGGACAGCTGCCACTGACGGGTTCTAGTAGACCCACAGCTTTTTCTAGTAATATATGTGACAGTCAATATAAGATTTCTGGCCTTGGGTATGTGTAAACTTGAAAATTTCAGGCTTAGGTGTCTGAATGCATAATTCCCTGAAAGTGTCGTACTAAACCAATAAAGCCATAAAATATGGCAACAGCATCTGGATTTTATTAACAGAACTTGGAGAATGAGAACAAAGAAGTGATTGTAACTTTACAAAAATTATTGTTTTTGATGCTTTATTTAGAGAAACATCTTTATCATTCTATTTGACTCTCAGCTGCAAGGACTGTGTCTTTTTAATTTTGTGTTTTTTAAGATTGTGGACTGAAATGAGAAAGAATGGTTTTAAGCCCTTAAATAGGCTGAGGTACAACAGTTTTATAAAGCATGTTTTGAAAAGCAAGTAACCTGATACCCATGGCAAGCATGTAAAAACTGTTTAGAAGAATGGCAGGAGATCTAATTGAGGTATAAAAGATGCTAAAGGGGTTTGACAAAGTAGATGCAGAGAGGTTGTTTCCTCTGTTCTGGAGAAGGATCACTGGACTTGAAACATTTATTCTGCTGCCAGACCTACTGAGATTTCCCAGCAATTTCTTTTTGTTTTCTTACTTCCAGCATCCAGTTTTTTTTATTGGAGAGAATGTCTGTCTTGTGGGGCAATCTAGAATGAGAAGTCATAGTTTTAGGACGAGGGGTAACAAATTTAAAACAGAGATGAGGAGAAATTACTTCTCTCAAAGGGTCATAAAACTGTGGAATTCACTACCCCAGAGTATGGTGGATGACTGAACATTGAATAAATTTAAGAAGGAAAGAGACAGGTTTTTAAATTAGCAATGGGTTGAAATGTTGTGGTGAATGGGCAGGAAAGTGGATTTGAGGCTGACATGAAATCGGCCATAATTGTACTGAATGGTGAAGCAGGCTTGAGGCACTGAATTGCCTACTCCTGCTCCTAGTTCTTATACTCTTATGTTGTGTACTTATTCTAAAATCTTCAACTTTTTTGATGAATTAGGGAATAGTAAGGCTAGATTTCCATTGTGCTACCCAAGTAAGTTGTGAAACAGTTGAAGTTCTGACATTATATTATTTCTATCAAAGATCGTCTATATCCACTTCTGTAATATTGCCTTGCTGTCCCCAAACTCAGCACAGCTGCTGAAATATTGATGCAAACGTCTGTCATTTTCAGACTCAACTATTCCAATTGTTTTCTTCACTGGTCTCCCATTTTATAAGCTAACATACTTAAGCTGATCAAGCGAACAAACTTAAGCTGATCAATAACTCTGCTGCTGTATTCTGATTCATATCATGTCTGGCTCACCCAACACCCTCCTTTTGCTTATACAAAAGTAAAATACTGCATAGACAGGAAGTCTAAATCTGAACAAAAAAAAGCTTGAAAAACTCAGCAGGTCAGATTACATCTATGGAAAAAAAAAGAGAGTTAATGGGCTGGATTTTCCAAGAAGTAGCAATCACAATCCATTCCTTCTCTTTTACATAGTGAAACAGCTTCACATTTCCAGTTGGGACTCCTTTAGAAATATGGAGCCGTACTTTTATTCTAACATAATTGTCAGGACATTTGAGGGATGGCAAACAATGCATCCTTTTTCAAAAAGTCTGTTGCCATAACTTGTGACTTAAAGGTCCCGCATCACAGGCAGTTTTTGTGAAAAGTAAATACAACAGATAAATATGACATTTGGGTGCTGGGAAGGCAGGTTGTCAGGTAAAAGGTGGAGTTTTTAGGATAGGTCAGGGTGGTGGGCAAAATCTGATCTGATGGGGATATCTATGTTTGTCTTTGCTCTGGGCATAGGGGTAGAGTGGGGGTCACAGATCCCAAGGAATTGGGGTGTGGGTGCCAGGTCAGCTGGCAGGGGAATTTGGGTCCCAGGGGTAGAGGGGTGAAGTGAGGTCAGGGTCTTGGGGGTATAAAGGTCCTGAGGAAGGTATAGTTATTGTTGTGTATATTAAGTTGGCAGGACATTTGAATTGTTGCTTAGGACTTAGACTAGGTATTTAATAGTCCAACCTTTCCTAGGTAACTATTTACTTAACTGCAGCGGAACCCTCTGAATTCTCCAATTTGAATGAGTCAAACATTCCCTAATTCTTAGATATTGTCCCGTGAAGTGCATTGGAATATTTTAATTTGATAAAGGAGTTAAATGAATCTAGCTGTCTGCTTACCTTGACCCGAATCATATATTTCTTTCAGAAGATGGAATCCAGTTTCCTCGTGATCATTTGAAATGAGCCACAATACAGCAATCCCAGTTGAGAGAACTGCTGGCTTTCCATTCCATTCATGAGTCAGACACTGAATTAACTCAGCGTTTGGGCACTTGTTCAACAAGAATAAATAATCATCTTCCCGGAAAATAATTAAAACATAAGAAATTAGAAAGGGTCAATGCAAGACAGACTGACAGCACATCAAACTGGATACTAAACCAACATGTGACAGAACGTATCAGAAAGATAACACCATTTTGTACTACTGCCCAAGATAAATTGCATTCTCTTAATCATTTTGCAAAAGGAGGCAGTCTCAACAGAGGCTTATGCAACTTTTAAGGAAAGATTGCATAAAACTTTTGAAGCAGAAGAAATTTGAATGTGTAGAGAACAGGAGATCGGTTTTGATTTGCTTTACTGTCAAATTTGCACGAACAGAATTAATTGGACTACCTCTGCCTGTGCTATAAACTTCTTTTTCTCAATGCTTTGGCAAGAAATCACTCTTCTCAATACAATGAGGTTCAAAATCGTACAGATCAGGCAAGGAGGTCAGCTTCTCCTGAGGAATTTGGGCATAAAAACTATGTGAATTTATCTCAATGGCTCTGTCCTTTTATACAGACTGTTTAAATTCCTTTGTGGAGTGGGAAAGACTATGGATAATTGCCTTGGATGGATCGTTCACCTGTGTCTGAAGGGGAAGTTCTTCCACTGCTCTAGTAAATTCAAGCTTTCACATAAGAGTTGTTATAAGTCACAATGAATCATGTGAAAAGGACCCAACACCTCCACATTAGAAAGGAAGTTGAATGCAAATAAGATCAATGGCCTCATTTTAATGTTGGCCTGCTGGTGATTGCGGCACGCTTCCCTCAATTCTTCTTTGAACCGGGTTGATCCCTGGGCTTAATGGCCGAATGGGGGATATGACAGGCTCTGAAGTTACAGATTGGTTGAATACAATTCTGCTGCTTACGATGGCTCACAGCACCTCATCAATGCCCAATGTATCAGATGTATATGAAATCTACACCATTTACCACAGTGGCAGTGCCATGCAACACAAAGGACAGTATCTTCAATGTGAGATCGGACTTCACCTCCGAAAGAAATTTGTGGTTGTCTCTGTACTGATGTTTTCCTGGACAAATGCATCTGCGATATATCGTATGGTGAGGACAAGGACAAGTAGGTTTCTCCCTCTTATTCTTCCCTCCCAACCTGTCATAGACCCAGTCGAGCAACAATGGCCTTCAGGATTGGTGCTACCAAGCTACCTGCTGTTGGGACAGGATATGTCCAGGGATGATGATGGTATTTAGGATACAATCTATAAGATCTGATTCCATGAGTATGACAATGTAAGGCTGATGCTTAATTAGGCTGAGGTACATCTCTCCCAATTTTGGCCCAAGCCCCAATATTGTTTAGGAGGACTTTACAGAGTTGAAAAGGCCAGATTTTCCTTTGTCATTTTCAGCACCTACATTGATGCCACGTGGTCTGTACAATTTCATTCTTTATTGATCTTTTTGCAGCAGTATGGCTTGATAGGCCATTTAGTAGGTATTTAAGAACCCACAATGCTGTGGGTCTGATGTCACAAATAGGCCAGATCAGGTAAACAGGGTAAATTTCCTCCCCCGAGATAAAATGGTGATGCAGTTGTGTTTTATAACAATGGTTTTAAGGTCACCATTACTGACACTGGCTTTTAATTCCGGGTTTATTCACTGAATTCAAATACTGCTACTGCCATGATGGGATTTGAATACATGTCTCCATGCCACTGCCTCCTCCATTGTCATGTTTACTCTGTGACCTTCTTGCCCCTTCTGATACTTGTTATAATGCAGTTCTGGCAGGTACCATAATGTGGAAAATAAGCCTTGAAATCTCTGCTCCCAGACTGCCTCTAGTCAAAAGTTTTAAAGAATCAAACAGGTATGACTGAGACCAATTAAATGCAAAAATTTACACTGATAAAGTTTATGACTATGAGAGTTTTCAGTAGAATATATTTCTGTTTAAAGCTAAGCAATAGAGAGAAGAGATCCTTTAATAATTAACCACTCAAAGAACTTCCCATCTAAATTCTTATTCCAATATTAATCACATTTACTAAACTATAACTAAATCCCTTCTCAAGTTCTTACCCAAGCTGAACTTTTTGGAGTCATGAATATATGCCATTGCTCCAGAAATCTGCCCACACCCGCACAAGCACAGAACAGCTTTCTTGTGCACATTACATTTATCATAGACAATCTGAGCCAGGCCCATGCATGTGTCCATTCTCCGTAGTTCAGTATCTCCATAATTGTAAATCAAGTCTCCCAATTCTTCAGAACATGTTACTCTAGAGATGACAAGAGAGAGAAAGAAAACATTATTGAAAACCCTTTTGATTTTTGACAAAGGAACAAAATATACTCCATTTGTTATATCTAAAATGAGCTATCAATTATTAGTTTTTAAGAGGTGAAATTCAATTTCAACAACATGTACATAACAGCAGATCAGGAGCTGACTATACAACCTACCCGACTTCAACAGAAAAGAAAATTTGCTGTGGGAGTCAGTCTGCTTTCATTCATTTTGCATTAACCCCACTGAAAACTGCGTATTACCCCTTACTTTCTGCTTAGTTTAGCATATTTTTGAATATTGTGAAGATAAGTTAACCAGTGTGCATTATCTTTGAAGTTGCAAGTCATGAATAGCTTCAATGTGCTGTATACACAGCCAAGCTATCAGATACCAGAGATATTTAATGATAATATCACCCAGAATTTCAAACTGAATTGTTAGTATGCTGCATGATTTATCATATAAACAGTACAGTATTTTCTCCAGAAAGCTTTGATTGATGCAATGGAAATCTTCAGCTCCAAAACATAACAATATTAGAACAAAAATATGGAGCACCCAAATTAGCTGTCTATTACACGGTCCCTTGAAGTGAACAAAAATGAAAATTGGGCAGTGTACAATAGATAGTATTTTGCTACAGTTGGACTTAAATTCATCCTACCTCCTCACCTCACTGTATTAGGCAATCGGATGAAGGCAGCAGTAAAATACAGACCTTAATTTTTACCATGTCATAGGGTCTGTTGAAATAACAAGCTATCAGATTCTCTGATCCTACTTCTTTCCATCGCATTTCCACATCTTCTTGGTTCAGATGCACGGGCTAGGAGCAGCACCTGTCCCCCTTCCTGGCTGTTTATCTGGAGTCTACAGCACATTATTTGAATCAGGCCCTGAGATGAAGGTTGACCTAACCCCACATCCCTGGCCCTGCGGAATTTCTCACAAGGTATTGTGTTATCCTAGATACTACATAATTCCCTTTTAATACCAATACTGGAGATTCAGTTACCTTACTACTCCCTAGTGGTCAGCTTATTGACAAATGGCTGGGTACACTGAATACATCCAAGAACAGTGGAATAGGAAAGGGTGGCAGAATAAAGTTGCCTCAATTCTGTTTTACCTTTTGCCTCCCTGATTACATCAATGTTTTATTGTTAGGTTCTTTAAAATGCTAAGTTATGCAGGGCACAAGAAATAACAATAACGTTTGCAGACTTAGAAGTGCTATAGTGCAGGACACCCTTCCCACACCTCCCTTATGAAGTCTAAACAATAGAGACTCTGCTTCAGGACATGAAAAATTGAAGCTATTATCACTCTAACAATTACATGGAGTGCATTACATCTCCTGAGCTCTTGTCCCAGAATATCTCACTACTATCAGACACAAAACAAAACTGTTGATGCTGGAGTCCAAGGTAGACAAACAGGAGGCTGGAAGAACACAGCAAGCCAGGCAGCATCTGGAAGAAAAGAGCAGTCAATGTTTCGGGTGTTAACCGAGTGTTGCCTGGCTTGCTGTGTTCCTCTAGCCTCCTGTCCATCTACCTATCTCACTACTGTGATAAGCCAAGAAGAATATTCAGATTAGCCGCAACAACTATATAAGCATGATAAACAGCAGTTTCAAATAATTTTCTTAAAGACCCTAAGAAGTTGCAAATTTTAGTTTGAATTTCCTGGGAATTTGGATATTTCAATCATCTGAACAGAGGAAGTCTGATTAAGAAGAGAACTTCAGTATAATTGTTCAGGTTATCTGGAATTGTGTCCACCTTTGTCCAGATTTGGTTTATTGCATTCTGAATTCTACTGTGGAATGGTAGTTAACATACATGCCCTTCATTTTTAGGGCCATTATTCAGGCTAGACGAATGGAACGAAATAGCTCCTGCCTGAGCTGACTCAACAATCTCATATTAAGTTACTGTCGGTTTGCAGTATAAATATACATTTTATTTAGTTTTTTTTTTTAAAAGATTCTAGTTTCTTTTTTAAAATCAACTTTTTCAGTCATGTTGTCACACAGCTCTGGACAGGTGGAACTTGAACCTGGACCTTCTGATCCAAGTTTTTTTTTTTTATCATTCATTCATTTGACGTGAGCTCTGTTGGCAAGGACAACATTTATTGCCCAGTCCTTTGAGAAGGTGCTGGTTAGTCATCTTCTTGAACTACTACAGTCATGTAATGTAGATACACCAACTGTGCAGATAAAGAGAGAATTCTAGGATTTTGACCTAGCAACAGGGAAGGAACTAACTAACAGGAAACAAGGAGTAAGCATAAATGGTCATTTTCTGCTTGGTAAGATGAAACGAGTGGTGTGCGAAAGAACTCAGTGCTGCCACCTCAACTTTTTACAAAATATGTAAATTACTTGGATGAAGGGACCAAAGGTATGATCGTTAAATCTGCTGATAATACATGGACAGGTTGGGAAGTGAGTTGTGAAGACAGCACAAGGGTGCTGAAGAGGGATTTGGATAGGTTAAGTGAGCAGACAAAGATATGGCAAATGTGAAATTGTCCACTTTGGCAGGAAGAATAAAAAGGAAGCATTTTATCTAAATGGCGAGAGATTGGAGAGCTCTGTAATGCAGAGGGATCTGGGCACTCTTGTGTGCATGAATCACAAAAAGTTAGTATGCAAAAAAAAAAGCAATTAGGAAAGGTAATAGAATGTTATTGTTCATTACAAGGGTTATTTTCTTTATTCATGGCATGTGGGCGATATTGGCTGGGCCAGCATCTATTGCCCATCTCTAGGTGCCCTTGAGAAGGTGGGGGTGAGCTCTTGAATCATTGCAATCCATTTGCTGTAGGTACACTTTACTATGCCACTAGGGAGGGAGTTCCAAAATTGTGACCCAGTGGCACTGAAGGAAATTAGTGACCTATTTCCCAGTCAGGGGAACTTGCAGGTCATGGGGTTCCCACTTATTTGCTGCCCTTCTCCTTCTAGATCATATGGAGTGTAGGTTTGGAAGATATTGTCTAAGAAGCCTTAGTGAATTTCTTCGGTGCACTTGTAGATGGTAGACACTGTAGCAACTGAGCATCAATGGTGGAAGGAGTGAATGTTTGAATGAAAACTGTACAAAGCACTAGTTAGATCATACCTAGAATATTGTGAAGCATTTTACTCCCCGTTTCTAAGGAGAGATGTACTGGCATTGGAGGCAATCCCGAGAAAGTTCACTAGCTGATCTAGGAACGAAGAGCTTTTCTTACAATGTGAAGGTGAGTAGGCTCAGCCTGTACTCATTGGAGTTTAGAAAAATAAGAGACAACTTATTGAAACATCTAAGATTCTTAGAGGGTTTGACAGGTAGATACTGAGAAGCTGTTCCTTGTTGTGGGAGATCTAGGTCCAGAGTAAGAGTGTTGCCCATTTAGGGCAGAGATGAGGTGGAATTTCTTCTCTTCGAGGGTAGTAAATCTGTGGAATCCTTTACTGCATAGGGCTATAATGGCTGGATCATCAAGTATATTCAAGGGTGAAATTGACAGATTTTTAAATCAGTGAGGGAATCGAGGGTAAATAGGGAAAGGCAGGAAAGTGGAACTGAGGATTATCAAATCAGCCATGATCTCGTTGAATGGCACAGCAGACTCGATAGGCTGAAATGACCTACTTCTGCTCCTACATCTTACGGAGAGTTTTCCTCAAATTTCCATTGACTTCAATTTTACTAACGGCTTTTGAGGAGGCCAAGAAGGGATTTACCAGGACGTTGCCGAGTATGGAAGATTTGAGTTATAAAGAAAGGCTAGATAGCCTGGGGCTTTTTTGACTGGAGCACAGGAGGTTGAGAGGTGACCTTACGGAATTTTATAAAATCATGAGAGGTATAGATAGGGTTAACGTTAAGTGTCTTTTTCCTAGGATGGGGGATTTCAACACCAGAGGGCATATTTTTAAGATGAGAGGAGAGAGATTTAAAAAAGACATGACAGGCAAATTTTTTTTTTTACACAGAGGGTAGTTCATGTGTGGAATGAACTTGCTGAGCATGTCGTGGATGTGGGCACAATTACAACATTTGAAAGACTTTTCGATGAGTACATGAATAGGAAAGATTTGGACGGATATGAGCCAGAAGCAGACAAGCGGGACTAATTTAGTTCAGGATTAAGTTCGACATGGACTGGTCAGACAAAAGGATCTGCTATAGGACTCTATGACAGTCATTTTCAATTTACTTCTTGAATTCAGCTCTTTTATTCATGTTTGGCCCCAATGAGGGCTGACACCCTAACACAGTGACATTGAGCAATGAGCACGTTATTGTTGTGCAAGTGTCATTTGAAAGTACTTATGTGACACCATCCTTCACTGTACTGATGATCAAGAATAGATTTACGGCACAGCAACTGGCTGTTGTTTGTGAACAGGATCAATGTGGATAATTTTATGAGAGCAGGAGTAAGTAAGAAGTAAGACTTCTCTGTTTCCTGCTTTGCAATATAGGTCAACATTCTATTTGCCTTCCTAATCACTTGCCGCATTGGGTGCCAGCTTTTTGTGATTCATGTACAAGGAAACACCATTGTGCTACAATGTTTTGCAGTATCTCTCTATTAAAATAACATTCTGCTTTGATAATCTTTCTGTCAAAGTGGTCAACCTTACATTATATTTCATCTCCCAATTTTTTGCCATTTACTTAACCTATATATCTCCTTTTACCAACTCTTTGAGCTGATTGTTCACTCCTGAGTCAGGAGTACAAAATCAGAAACATTCACAACGTCATTAACTCAATGCAGCAGAAAATATCCCAGATGTCCCGATTTTCTTAGTACTGAACATAGAGGGTGGGTATTGATGAGAGTCAGGTTCTCCACCCCTGGAAACAGCACAGGCAGGCACAGAGGCTGCCTGATGTGAAATGAGCTTTGTGAAGGCCATGTCTTGGCAACTCAGGGCTTCATTTCAGTTTTAAAAAGACATTAAAACAAAAACAAAACAGGTTTGTAGCCCTCACTCCCTAGAGGCTTTCCATGACTCAATCATGTTAGCATATGTCCCTTTTCCACCTATTGCCCTTCATACCCTTCAAACCAAACTATACCTCTCTACCACTTCCCCTGGCCTCTCTAACCTTCATGCCAATCTATGCCCTTTTAAATACTCTTCATGGTCCTTTCTAGCTTCTAAGCCAAGTTAATACAACTCATGCCAATGCAATGAATACTCCCCCAGCCCTAATCCACCCCATCTTTACACCTCCATATCAATTCTGTCTACTGTTGGTGGATCTCAGGAGCCATTTGCTGAGATGGAATAAATTTGTCCTTTGAAAATATCAATGTTTTAAAAACCCCCTTATTGATTAAAAACATTATATTTAAATTCCTTCAAGTAATTAAACACATGTGGAAACAACCATTTCATTCAAGTGTTTTAACCCCTTGTGAAAATGCACATTGGTATTCATAGCTCCATACCAAAGACTTGGAGTTGCCAATCAGACTGTGAGTTCACATGTTTCCTATTGTGGTAATGATAGGTTACGGATTCACTAACGTTTTTGCCATCCCAGAAGAGAAAACTGTAACTGTCTGCATACATCTGTCCTTTCACATTTGTGGCTGCCTCTGAACAATGGATATGTAAACTACAAACTTATTTCCCGGTGTCAAATGTGAATGGGAACATATTTTCCTGCTGGAAAACCATGACAGGCCATGTCTTTCAGCAACCAGCTAACAACAAATACAAGTGGCGCTCACTTGACTCTTGATTAATGTTTCGTCTGGGTATCAACACCACTTCCTGCTTCACAACAAGAACTCCTTACAGGTCCTCCTTTTATACCCTGAACAAGTTCCATTACCTATAATGGACGTGGCTCTTGGTCAATTCAAAACAGATTTTCTGAAGTTGGGCTTAGGGTGACAGGAAGTTGCTTGAGTCTTGTGGACCTGACTCCAGAGTAAAAATATGCGACTAAGATGCAAACAAATCAAATCCAGTGGGTGTATTCCTTTGTCATCCAAGGAACTCTGGATTTGTCTTACCTTTCCATTTTGAATAAAAAAAGTCTTGACTCTAACCGAATCATTTCATTTTTGAAGGCAGCCCATTGCTCATTTACAGTTTTTCCCACCATTTTTGTCATGTCAACCTGGTTCAGTTCAGTTCTTGCCTCACTGAAGTCACCTCCCCACCAATAGATTTTTCGTCCTTTGGATTGACCATTGTCATTCTCTACCATCATCTTAAACAATACACTGATCATTGTCTTCAAAATATTCCTCTCTGGCACATGATCTTCTTGGCCCACCTCATTCCAAGAACCAGGAAAAACTTTTCTTGTTGGGCTAAAATCATACTGCTGTAGGGAAGTTTTCTGAATGCAGTCTAGGAACATGTGCCCTCCATACACCTTACACTACCAGTACCCCAATCTACATTTGGGTAATTGTGTGTCTTCCTTTATAAACACTGTATAATACTGGCATCTCTCTGTAATTTCCCTATAGATTTGTTCCTCTACAGTCTTCCCTTTAGTTTATAGACCACAACTGAGCAATGTCTCTGCACCTTTCTGTTCCATAGCACTAGCCTGATTTTATCATTGAACCCTCTGAACATCCTCTTCCTCCAACACTACAATGCTCTCCTTAACCAATACTGCCATGCTTCCTCCTTTCCAGAACAGCTTGTACCCAAGAGTATTTAACATTCAGTCTTGGCCTTCCTTGAGCCAGGTCTTCGTTATTGCCACAATATCATATTTTCCACAAAGCAATCTGTGCCTGTAACTCCTGAATCTTATTGAGTGGACTTATTTACTATACACACAACACAGAGATGCATACTAACCCTCATTTAGACTTCATTACTTCTTTCCATCATCCCTACTCTGGCTTCAACTATTAACTTGCTTTTCTCTATGCTAGTGCTATCGATCTCTCCAAATATTTTGCAAATCCTGGTATTATTTTCTAATCTCTCTTGTTCCTGGCACTCCTGCCAAGTCACTTTACTGCCCTTACAGCCGCAACAGCAAAACTCCCTGCAAGGAAGTCAGTTCCAGCTCTGTTCAGGTACAACCCGCCCAGCTTGTACAGGTACCATATTCCCCACAACTAGGTCCAGTGTCCCCAGAATGTAAATGCCTCTCTCCTGCAGCATCTTTCCAGCCATGCATTAACCTGCCTGTTTCTGTACTCACTTGCACATGGCACTGGGAGTAATCTGCAGATATACTACATTTTAGGTCCTGCTTCCTTATTTTCTACCTATCTTCCTAGATTCTGGTTGCAGGACTACATGTCCCTTCCTACCAAAGACATTGGTACCAACATGGACCATGAACCCTCAATGTACACCTACCCTTACAAATATGACCAGTAACTGCTCTATAACTTTCAGCCTTGTGGATGTGACTCCAGCTACTACCTGAATTCTGAAACCTGGAACTCGAGCTTCTGGCAGCACTTTCTACACATATGGCCATTTAGGACATCAGTAGGCTCCTTGTCTTCACACACATTACACTCAATGAGTTGCACTGCCATGCTTTAACTTTATTTTCCTTATACTAACCTTGCTCTGCTTTGGATTATTTACTGTATTGCCTTGATGTAGCCTTATTTCTAGTCTTTCTAAGTTAAATCCAAGTATAAACTACTCATGTAAAGATAATAAGCTTTCTACAGTAATTTAAAGATTGTTCCTCATTGCAGTTTCTTCACAGCCAATGAACTTACTGAAGAGTAGAAGGAAAAAGCACCTCCTCTCCACCCTGGACCAAACTCTCCACTCAGCAAACTATACTTCTTGCAGTAAACTTTACTTGAAGTATCTCCTCCCCCTCTGCACCAAATTACCACGTTAAACCAAATTCCCAGACATACTCAGCCACTGTCTCACACTGGTGAAGTCTACTTCATGCTGACCTAATATTTCATTACTTTAATTATATTTTCCCACATTTTTACATGTCTTTGGTTTGTGAAATTAGTTTGCTCAGCACTCTCGCTACTAGATTTCCTACTTGTATCAAAATTCCCATTGCTAATACAAAATAGTTCTCTAAATTAGTTCATTCATTTTGGTGTTTACTGCTGTTTCAGTTCATTTTAAGATAAACCAAATATCATCTTCATGATTGACATAAACAAAACATAAAATATCCATTCTGTTCGGTGTTGCTCTGTTTTATATACTCTTGGGCCAGTAATTTTCCTAATGGTTTCCTGCAGTTTTTATGCTTTATATTCTTTCCAAACTTGTTGCAACCTTGCTCCATCAAAATGTTTCAGTGAACTGTCGCAAAATATGATATTTTCAGATATAGAATTTTCATCTCTAGGTCATATTTCTGCTTATCCGTGGAATACGCAACTATGTTCCTTATGCCGTGTACAGTAATGAGTAACATCATTTTTAATAACATGATTCTACCAAGTTTAGAATATTACCTCTGTTGTATTATCCAGTGAATGACCAGATCCAGTCGGTTTTGCTTGAGTGCACATTCTACTCCCTCCAATGACATTTTTGCTTTAGGTGAATGTCTGACAGCAGAAAAAGAGCTCATTACAGCTTCAAAGAATTGCAGAAGAGGAGAAATATGCCCTTCGTATTCTGTGACAGCTGAGGGAGAAAATTATTATTACAGTTGGTCAAAGAACAAAATACACCTTCGTACACAATTGTTGTGCATTTTAAATGACCTATCTTAAATAAATTCACTATGTTTAACAGAGCAAGGATGAAGATGTTTGCTAGTTGCTTATTAGCTCTGAATCTCAGTTTTTCCATTATGAGAGCCTGTTAGTATGAGCCAAATAATTCCTCAAACTGAAGGGAAAAAGTAAGACAAATCTTTCACATATAGAAAATTCCATTTAAATTTGACATTTTATGTTGCTTTATTTCAATATGATTCAGACAATGGGCCCTGTATTATCATTCAGAATTGCCAAATTTGGTTTAAGTCATTTTCCGTCAGGCTGCATCACCCAATCTGCACCATTTTGGAATGGATCTAGGAACTTCCTTCACTGAGATTGTGGGCTCCAAAGCTCAGAGTTCTGAAAGCTTGGATACAGAACTGCTGAGTACAGGCTGTTTTCATCAATGCCACAAGAGTCCTAAGATATTCAGTCACATTCCCATTGTACTAGTGCCACCGCAGCTCTCTCACTCACTGCTAGGGTTTGGGAAAGTGAAGCAGCGAGCAGCAAAGTCAGGGAACAGGGGTTTCATGAGAGGATGAATTTAGGAGTGGCAGAGGCTGCAAGTTAGAGGATCGGCAGCTTAAGGATATGTTAAGGATTGGCACAGGCTTCAATTTGGAGGGCCAGCAGAAATCAGGATGGTTTGATAGCTGAAGGTATGACAGCAGGATAGGGGGCCAGTAAGGTCAGCAATGAGGGTAAGCATTGTAAAAAATTACCAGATTTCTTTTACTGCATATTTTTAAACTTTATAGTAAACGTCTTTTCATTCACTGCTATACAGCAACATGCAAGTTAGAATGTTTTAATTTTTTTTCTGAAAAAAGGAAGGCTCTACAATGCCTAACTACAGCCTTTACATTGGTTTTCATTAAGATTGCTAACCCCAAATTCGCTTGGTCAAATTCCACCATAATAAGTTGAGAGATTCAATTAAATAACTTTGATCATTTGGCATCAAAATGACCACAATAGATGTTGTAAATATTTTGAATTGACGCGTCTGAATATATTGAGACAGATATATTTGCAGTGTAGGTGGGACATGAACATGTACCTCTGGCCCAGAGGCAGGGACACTACTACTGTGCCACAACAGCCCTATGATACCTGCTGTTTTTACGATAAAAATTCAATTGATGACCTAATCTGACCTATGGGTGACTCCAATCGCATAATATTAGATTGACTCTTAATGTATTCTCTAGTGATGGTGTCCACACATTAACGAATTCCGCACACATCTGAATGTTGAACTCTTTTTCTACCGCCTCCACACCTATTTCTTTAACCGTGAGTCTAAACCACCCTCTGCTGACCCCTTCTCTCATCTCCAACAAACCCCATCCTCCTGAACACCACCCCACAGCCTCCTACCCTCCCTCGACCTTTACATCTCCAACTGCCATCAAGACATCAATTGCCACAATCTCTCCACCCCTCTCACTTATTCCAACCTCTCCCCATCGGAACGCACAGCCCTCCACTGCCTCTGCACCAACCCCAAGCTCACCATCAAACCCGCGGATAACCTCTATATCGTGGAAACCAGTGCCAACTCTCTGACACCTTCTCCTACTGCCCCCTCCATTATGACTCCACCCTTGATCACCAAACCATTATCTCTCAGACCATTTATAACCTCATCACCTCAGGTGACTTCCCACCCACAGCCTCCAACCTCATCGTTCCCCAACCCCAGAGTGCCCGCTTCTACCTCCTTCCCAAAATCCACAATCCTGACTGCTCT